ACTTGGGCAGAACCATGGCAGGAAGCTAAAAGACAGAAGGAGGAAATTTTAGCCAGGAAGAAATTCCCTTTAGCAGCCAAAGAAAAAGAATCCAAGGGGTCAAATACTTCATCTTACATCATCATCTGTGCTGTTTTGTTTTCTAAGTCTCTGCTACTGCCCGAAACTCTTCAGTAAAAGTTATGCCCAGTTGATGTACCGAGAGACATTTGAGAGGTGAGGGCAAATACCTGTGCACCCCATTCAAGTCTCTGCAGGACAAAAGGTAGACAGCAAGCTGGGGGCAAGATGCCAGGAGGAGAGAAGGATCACAAACAGAAAATCGAAGTGAAGGATGAATGTGTGAACACCCCTGGGAATCCACAGAAATCTTCAGGAGGACAGGGACATGCAACTTGAGGTTAAAGTACCTTTACTTAAACCTTAAAAAACAAGAACTCCAGCTAACACCTGGCTCTGTGTATATAAGGCAACCTCTAGAGATGCAACATCTGATAGCTCAAGAGTAAATAATTACATGTATAGATCTCCCGGCATTCATGCTTGACTCTTTCTTTCCCCTTGATAACTTTTTTTTTTTTTCCGGACATCTTAGCAGGTCCACCAATGTTCATTCAATCTCAGAGAAAGATAGGACTACTCAGATTGATTTATTTTCTCTTTTACCATCTCTGGCACAAGCTGTTATTGGATGTTTCCATTTCATGATTCTGCACGTGTTTACACAGCTGTAAGTGTTTAAGTGAGAAATATTGCTTTGCTCCTACTTCACTATCTCTGTGTATGTGAATGTGTGGTATGCATGCTCCTACATAAATACCCCAATGAACTCCAATGAATATATGATTGTACTATTTCCTGGAGTGGGTCAATTTACTCTACAATCTATAAAAGACCAATGAAACTCTCTTTTTGCAACTGTTTGCAATATCTCTCAGCTGTGGTACCAATGTTTTCCCCAAAGATAAGTACTGATTTATGATTCCAGTGACAAACTAACACAATGTTTTATTATTTCCAGAATAAGGACTTCAGGAAGATTTTATTTGGCCAGCTACCTGGATAGTAGAGAAGTCAGGGATATTCCTTGAATGTAATAATTGACACTTTAGAAAGTTTCTCTCCTGATAGTAAATTCCAGAGAACAGAGCATCTATAATCCAAAATGTCTAATGAGCCAATGGGGACATTAGAGAATGGTCAGGATGTTTTACTTATGTTTAAATGTTTACGTAACACAGCTAGAGGGAAACTTGCTATTGCCATCTTTGCAATTATTATGTTCTACTGTGCAATTATTTATGTTTTACTGTGTCTTATAAAACTACAAAAAAGGAATCGATGATATGATATGATCCTTGGAATATGTCCATGATCCCACTACTTGCTTTGGAGTGTTTTTTTTTTGGGGGAGGAGGGGGTTGTTTTTGTTTTTGAGACAAAGTTTCGCTTTTGTTGCCCAGGCTGGAGTGCAGTGTGCCATATTGGCTCACTACAACCTCCGCCTCCCGGGTTCAAGCAATTCTCCTGCCTCAGCCTCCCAAGTAGCTGGGATTACAGGCATCTGCCACCACGCTGGGCTAATTTTTTATTTTATTTTATTTTATTTTGTATTTTTAGTACAGATGGGGTTTCACCACGTTGGCCAGGCTGGTCTCGAACTCTTGACCTTAGGTGATCCACCCACCTCAGCCTCCCAAAGTGCTGGGATTACAGGCATGAGCCATGCACCTGGCTGCTTTGGAGTGTTTGAGAAATCAGCATACCTAGTGTCTTTCAACTTGAAAGGACACGATGATGCAGAGCTACCTGGTTAGTTCCCTAGTTAACTATACGAGAGGCTACTTGGCCTTTGGTGACAGCTTTCCAACACGCTGACTCCTGCCTCTTTTACTTATTGATATTGCCTATTCTGGTTAGCATTTATCATGATCCTCTGAGCCATTTCCCGTTGACTGCACCAGAATTAGTTAGTTCCTCTATGAGTTTTGCAGTAATTGCCATATCTATTTCAAAAACCCAAAGCAACAAAAATTTACCATTTAGCAACAGCACTTGTTTTTAATTGTTCCCATTTCAGTGCTTTTATCAATAGATACATACGCACACTATGAATTTGTTCACATTCATTTCATCATCTGGTCTTTCATTAATTCAGTGATTAGCATTCCCAGATGAGCACACACATGTGTCTGGAGCCACACAAGATGCTACGTCTTTTAAGGCAAAAATAAATAGATCTATCCCTAACTTCATGGCACTTATAGTCTGAAAGTTCTTACTTATCCAACAGAGTCCTTAAGGACAGATCTTTTTTGCAAGCTACCAGAATTTTAAAGGCATATTTTTTCTTAAGAAAGTCACTTTCTCATTATTCCTGGGTCATCTGCTTCTGCTTTTTGCTATTCCCCAACTATATTCACTTTCACTTATCACAGAGGTGTAAATTGATGAAAATTAAATATTTCTACTTTATTTAATATTGCAGTTTAGGTGAAGAGATGGGAACTACAGCCTAAAATCAATTTTGATTATAAAGTTTTAATATTATCAACTATTTTTTTTTATTCTAATCCTCATTAAAAAATTTGGCCTGGCCACGTGTGATGGCTCACGACTGTAATCCCAGCACTTTGGCAGGCCAAGGTGGGTCGATCACAAGGTCAGGAGATTGAGACCATCCTGGCTAACACAGTGAAACGCCATCTCTACTAAAAATACAAAAAATTAACCGGGCATGGTAGCACACACCTGTAGTCCCAGATACTTGGGAGGCTGAGGCAGGAGAATTGCTTGAACCTGGGAGGCAGAAGTTGCAGTCAGCCAAGATCGCACCATGGCACTCCAGCCTGGGCAACAGAGTGAGACTCTGTCTCAAAAAAAAAAAAAAAAAAAAAGGAAGAAAGAAAGAAAAGAAAATGTGCCCTGAGGACAAGTAAAATAGAATGCATTTCATACAGAATGTTTGTCAAAATGAAATGAAAATAGTAAGATGATATTACAGACTCACACGGAGGTTTTATGCTTGTAGTACACAGTGCCATCCCAGAGCAGGACTCTCAAGACATCATCTGTTTCCTTTCTGGTCCCCAAATGAATCAGGCAATTCCGAATTGGTGGCAAGGGCTAGAATATTACAAAACTATGTTGACTCTGATCATCTATCTGTTAAGCTAAACTGGAGTCCAAGGAGTAGAAAACATTATGGGCCAGACAGTGCTGACAGGATGGTAGGGTACACAGCAATGGCAAGTAATAATCTCTCAGGGAACAATTCTCACACTCTCGAGGTCATTTCCCTATCTTCCTATCTATGCACCCAAGCACCTTAGAAAGAAAGGAACCCAGAGGGAACTGAGAAATCAGAGCTTTCTTTGTGGCTCTGTCTCTTTTCTGCATCTTGCTGTGTTAACAGAGCCCTTCCTGGTGCCCACCATCCCCCAAAAGCACCCAAGGAGTGCGCGGAGAATGAAGAGCAGGGACAAGGTCAGACAGGAGAGGCCCGCTGGGAGACACTGAACGCACGGAGTGGGTGGAGCGGAGTAAGAAAATGTACAGTCTCATTAGGAATGAGGTACCAATGATAGTGTCTCCAAATCCAGCAGACCTCTGGGCATAGTTCCAGGCCTGAATTAGGACTTTGTAGTCATTTTCAAGATAAAGCACTTGTCCTAAATATCACTAGCTTTTACTTGAGTCACTTATGTCTGGATCTCATTAAAGTTCCCGGCCATTGCGCTCATTTTATCTTCTAAGCGCAACTGAGAAACAGGAGCGGGCCAATGCTCACACCAACTGAGCAATTGAAATAAGAACTTGAACAGGACACAAGAAGCAGAGACTATGGGACACAAGCCCATGAAAATGTGTTGCAGCACATTTAAGCTGGAGGCATCAAAACTGGTATCTTCTACACAAATGCAGTTGTTCTCTTTACTGTTTAGAACCATAGAGGTTGAAGGCACATCAGAGAGCATCTCATCTCAGCTAACGCCTTTCCTAAAGGCCACAGGAACATTCCATTCATGTGTGGCCAGCCCGACACCCAGGCTCTCCAGTTTCCAATCCTGCACTCTTTTGACTGCTAATAATAGCTCTACTATTTGTGGTACCTATTATGTGCCAGAGACTTATTCTAAGAGCTTTACAGGTGTGGCCTTACTTAATCCTATAGCCACCCCCGTGATGCAGGTATGTATTACTGTTGCCATTTTCAGGTGAGGAATCCGATACCCAGCATGGATGAGTAACTTGCTTAACTCCAAAACTGACAAAAGGGCTGAGCTTCCTACACTGAATCCACACACTCTCCTACACCTAAGATCCGTGCTTATTCCCCACGACCGACCTTCTGCTTCCTTTACCCCAGGAACATATCTGTGGAAAAGAATGGCTACTTGGTGCTTCCTTTAGCCCCACTTCATCATGCAGTGAATTACTAAATTCTGATTGGTATCTGTGTTGCACACATAGAACATCAGAACACACAGTTTTAAATGTACTAATGCTCAGTGATCTCTCTAAAGTTGGGGGAAAAGGATAATAGCTTGTTTGTCCTCATTCTCTCCTAGATTCTTGTTTCTGGAAATGCTTTAGGCAATTTGATGCCTGAGAGGAATCTCATTCTCTCCAATTTCAACACCTTTAGTTTTACGTAAAAAATAAAAAATGTATAATCATGAAATAACAGAGGAAATGAGAAAACTGATATAATAGTGAGCTGAATCTTTACTGGCTCTGATAAATTAACTACAAAATTGGCAATTGAACCCCATGCCAGAAGCAGAAATGTGTGCAAAGCCACAGGCCAATTGTATCATACCCCTTGCAGTTACGAAAACTCTCATTGTTCTTAAACCACCAACCAGGGCTGCCTGAGGTTGTCCGTTATCTTTTCCTTTTCTTTTTTTAATTTCTGGTGCAACAAAGACCACCTTTTGAGTGAATAAGCCAATAAATTACCTTTTTTTTTTTTTTTTTTTTTTTTTCCTGCTGCACAGAACTTGAAGCGGGTAGCTGAGACCTGGATGGATGAATTTGCCGAGTACATTTACCAGCGGCGGCCGGAGTACAGGCATCTCTCCACGGGGGACATCTCTGCCCAGAAGGAGCTGCGCAAGCAGCTCAAGTGCAAGGACTTCAAATGGTTCATGGCTGCTGTGGCCTGGGACGTGCCTAAATACTACCCTCCAGTGGAGCCCCCGCCCGCTGCCTGGGGGGAGGTGAGGAAAGGTTGCCTGAAACCTGCGCCTACCTGGGAGACTGTGTGCCTCCCCCATAGCCTCAGGTGGTGGGAGGGACTGCTAAAACCTTCACTTTTACCCTGCAGCCAAGTAGCATTCATTTAAATCATCTGAAATACGTGAATGTTCAACCTCTTTTTAGCAATTACTAGACTTAGCCTTCAGAGTTGATAGCCTAACCCAGAATTAGTGACCACTGTTGATTCCCCAGATGATTTTTGTTGTTGTTGTTGTTGTTTTTGTTTTTTGAGACAGAGTCTCACTCTGTCTTCCAGGCTGGAGTGCAATGGTGTGATCTCGGCTCACTGCAACCTCCACCTCCCAGCCTCCTGCATAGCTGGAATTACAGGTGCACACCACGACGCTCAGCTAATTTTTGTATTTTTAGTAGAGACAGGGTTTTGCCATATTGGCCAGGCTAGTCTCAAACTCCTGACCTCAGGTGATCCTCCTGCCTTGGCCTCCCAAAGTGTTTGGATTATAGGCATGAGCCACCATGCTCGACCATGAATTTTTAAAATACACCTAGAAAATATTTTTCTTTGAGATTAGGGAAATCACCACCAGCTTTTGTAGAGAATTAATGTATCTGTCATACAAGTGCTTAAATATGGGTACCTGATAGACGTGAAAAAAACCCTCTGTCTTGGGGCACAGCCTTGCTGCTATTGGTATATGCAAGTACAAGGCAGTGAGGGGGCTTGGCTATTTTCCCCTCCAGGCCATGCTGTGCAGAATCATAAAGAAATGTATTTCTGTAATATACAGAACTGTTACACAGGCAGCCACATTGATTCTTTAAAGAAGCACCAGCCTTTCCACCTCTGAACACTTCTATTCAGTGGAAATAGAATGGAAAGAGCTGAATAGCCCCAGGTCCCAAATTTAAAGTATCTATCTTTTGGCATAGAAAAGACTATTGCACTGGGTTCGGTTCCATTCAATACTGTTACTATAGCCTTTCTCCATAGAATAGAGTGTACTAAAGCAGGACTAAAATTGGATAGGATGGATTTATCCTAGCCATTCAACCTGCTCTTAGCAGAGGATATCGGGGGAAATGCATCAAGGCTAGATGTTCACACCATCCCACTTCCCCAGTCTTTCAGAAATCAAGAGTTGATTGTCTCACATTGTGGAGGAGTACCATCAGTGTCCTTGGTTTTATAGTCTCTGAAAGAAGATGCCATTGCCTAGATGTTGTCTGTGGCTGCAGAGCTTTGAGAAAAGGCTACCCCAGGGCATGATAGGAGAGGCCAGAAGACTCAGGCAGTGTTCCTGGGTGAGCTGTTCCAAATCCCTGTAGAGGATGTGTTCAGCAAGTCACAGGTGCACTGCTTGTTGTGTTCAGAGGGTCACTCTTCATACCTGGGACACCCAGGATGAAGGAGAGAGTCAATCCTGCCACTATACCCTCCAACTCCTCATGGTTTTTGCATGTGTATGTCGTCCTGATATTATCTGCTTAATTCAAGTTAGTAATTTGGTCTCATCCTTTGCATCTTAAACATTTTATTAAAACTTCCCTAGAATATTAGTAATATTAGCCTGCCTGTATTAATGTAACTGTCTACCACAGACTTAATTCATAGCAGTGGAAATTTGAAGTAGACAGATACCAGAAATAATTTTCTTATCCTAACGTGTTGGAAGGCATGAGAAGTGAGTTCCTTCTACAGTTTTATATATATATATATATATATAGAGAGAGAGAGAGAGAGAGAGAGAGAGAGAGAGAGAGAGAGAGTTCTGCTTGTCATCTTTCTATGATGATTCAAATGCTGTCCTGCCTAGTGACTAAGAAGTACACTTGAGGAGCCCACAGTATCATTGTGTGATTCACTACAGAGCTAAAATCTCATCAATCTTTTATCTGCCTTATGTGGAAACATGAATTTTTCTTCCTACTGGTTACTATGTTCTTCAAACTGCAGCTGGTCACATTTTTCCCACATTACCTGATTAAACCATAATCTGAATTTATATAGCACCTTTTCTAAATAGACTCACATCTTCCACTGAGGTTCTAGGAAAGGTACAACTTTCCAGGAATAATCAAAATCAGAACCATCTTAAGCCCAAGTAGGCTATGCCAGTGTGTTTATATCTATTACCCTAGATTGCCTCATACTTTTACAACACTTGCCTTATCCCTGGAGACATTTGCATTCATTATTTCTGGCTTAAGCAATCAGACATTGAGATGATTCGATTTTTTATTTTTCCCCAAGACAAGGATTTGCTCTGTCACACAGGCTGCAGTGCAGTGGCATGATCATAGCTCACTGCAGCCTCAAACTCTTGGACTCAAGTGATCCTCCCACCTCAGCCTCGTGAGTAACCCAGACTACACATTCATACCACCAGTCCCAGCTAATTTTTTAAATGTTTTGTAGAGACAAAGTCTCAATATGTTGCCCATGCTGATGTTGAACTCCTAGCCTCAAGTATTCCTCTTGCCTCAGCCTCCCCAAGTGATGGAATCGCAAACATGAGCCACCACATCCAGCAACAGATTTTTTTTTTTCTTTTTAACACAATGGCAAATTTCTTTCCCCCAAAGCCTCAGAACAGTAAACAAATAAAGGTCATATTTAAGTTTAGGAAAGAAGGAAATGGTGACATAATTTATGGGCCAGTTACACTCAGTTGTATTTGTTCGGTGAAGATGTGATGCATAGCAAGAATGAAGACATAGAGGATGGGAGGAAGGCAAGAAGAAAGGAAATCAATAAAAGACAGCAGTTTGCACTGTTAAATATTAGTTTTTAAAAGTATCTGATTCTCAGGCAGAGTAGATCTCTGACAATATAAGTGAAACATGTACATTTAATGTAGGAGGCAAGTGAAGGATTTGAAATGCAGCTTAATCTAAATGAAATGATGAAAAAAGATTATTTTCTAACTGTAGGTGGGTAATAATATTTTTAAGAGTGGATAGACCAGGCACGGTGGCTCACGCCTGTAATCCTAGCACTTTGGGAGGCCGAGGCGGGTGGATCACCTGAGGTCAGGAGTTCAAGACCAGCCTAGCCAACGTGGTGAAACCCCGTCTCTAATGAAAATACAAAAACTAGCTGGGCATGGTGGCGTGTGCCTGTAATCCCAGCTACTCCGGAGGCTGAGGCAGGAGAATCGCTTGAACCAGGGAGGTGGAGGTTGCAGGACCCAAGACCTGAGATCACGCCACTGCACTCCATCCTGGGTGACAGAGTGAGACTGTCGCAACAACAACAAAAAAAAAGATAAAAAATTTTTAAAAATGCAGAATATATGTGTCGACCAACTTAATCTCTGACAAAAAAAATACTTTCAAAATGTTGACACATGCAATTTCTTTTGCCTTTCAGAAGGTTTCTTAAAATAAACTTTTTATTTTGGAATAATTTTAAATTTACAGAAACATTGCAAAGATAGTGCAGGAAGTTCACATATACCCTTTAGTCAGCTTCTTCTAATGTTAACATTTTATATTTACTACATTAACTGTGGTATATTTAATCAAGCTAAGTAATTAACAGTATAATACTATTAACTAAACAGGACTTTATTCAGATTTCACTAGTTTTTTTTACTAATGTCCTTTTTCTGTTCCAGGATTCAATCTCATATATGAGAGAGCTTTTTAGTTTCCTATAAACTTTAAATTAATTGTTAGAATGGGCAAAGTTCCTAAATAAATGTAATAAGTCAATTATTGTTGTAGTAAGAAAGCGAAAAGGGGAATGCAGATTCAGTGGTTCTTTTCAAGCAATTATGGGAAGGAACCACAAACCTCCAGCAATGTAAACACAAGATTCCTTTATGGGAGATCTGGGCCAAGAAGCAGGGCAACTCACCGTTTTATGCACTTGTACTTGGAACAGTTTTCCACCTGCTTGTCTGTGCCAGCCTGATTCAGGGTAAACAATGACGTGCTCAGGCAATTTTTGGCTCTGGTACTTGGAACTCAGCTTGTAAAGGATATGTTACAGACCATAAACAGCCTATAAACCGCCACTCATTTCCCTGACAAATTCAGCTGGATTACTGCACTTGTCTTCTGGCTCATCTCCCTGCTTCTGCCCGCCCCGCTTCGGTTTATTCTCAACACAGTCCACTTAAAACCAATCGGAGATGAGGCCACCCCTCCTCCATCCAAGCTTTCACTGGCTGCAATCTATCGCTAGGTAAAAATGAAAGTCCTTACCTATAAGACTGTAAACAATCTGACCCCTGTTGTTTCCTCTCCAACCTCCTCTCTGACTCCTCACCCCCTGGCTTCCTCCTCTCAGGGCCCACTGGCCTCGTCACCAGTCTTCACACAGGCCAGGTCAGTCTGACCTCAGCACCTTTGCATTTACTATTCCTACAGCTTAGAACCCTCCAGTCTCAGAAATCATATGGCTCCCGCCCTTACTTCCTTCTGGTCCTCACTCAAAAATTCATCTTCTCCGTAAGGTCTTCCCTAGTCAGCCTATCTAAAATTGCAACAACACCCACACACATCCACATGCATACTTACACACTCCCTACTCCCTTTCCTCCTTTATTTTTCTCCCTAGCATCCATCACTATGTAACAAGCCGTGCAATTTACTTTTTTTATCATGTTTCTCATCTATCTCTCCCACTAGAAAGTAAATTCTGTGGCACAAGGATTTTGTTGGTTTGTTGTGTTGCTACTGCTCTTTTGCAGAAAGACACAGTGTCTAGCATATAGTAGGTGCTCCATAAATGTTTGTTGAATGAATGAAAGATGAATAATGGGGGATCCTGGCTCCCTGTTGTCTCACCTGCCATTCACTGCTTTGCCCACACACCTGTATGTGTGAAGCCTTCTCAGGGCACACTAGGCACTCACTCCCTCCACAGCCATACAAAGTCCACTTCTTTGGAAAGCTCGGCCAGAAAGGCAGTTTGAGTAATGACTCTCAGGTAACTGATTCTCAGGAACGGTCGCGTCTGTGATCCATTTGATAGTTAAACAAGTTACAAAAT